AATATATTAGTAGTTTTCTAAGTTTCAAAATTATTAGTGTAATATTATGAAATTACTGTATATAGCCAATTGGCTTATATATAAATAAATAAATAAGTAATAAATAATATTTAATCAATTTGTGGAATATAACTGACATTTTTAGCAAATTTGTATGAAACTGAATAATCTGCAAAAGTTTCTAACAAGCTTAGCAGCAACTCGGTATACTTATAAAGCGCCTATAAACTAATACATAGAATACATATAAAGAAGTCTAAGCAACTTGCCTGAAGGCACAATGCCACTTACACCTAGTTGAGCCTAGTTTTTTTTAACTTTCTTACATTTTTTATCTAATAATAAAATGTGGAGCAAACATGTTTTAGTTTAGACTTAATATTTTATAAAGTTGTTACGAGCACGGTCACAGCTTAATAATCATGTGGGCTAATGAACAAACAGGATACGCTGATCGGCCTGAGTTTAAAATTTATTAAATAATTCTGACAATGCGTCACGAATACAATACACTGCACCTTACCAGTATTTTCTTTTGTTTTAATCTGGCACGTATTGAGAAGACATTATAAATTCATTATATGTATATATATATATATATATATATATATATATATATATATATATACAAACATACATATATACATATAAGCTTATTTTAATCTAATTGTAAGTCACTTTTCAAAAGAACCGAAAAGACCACCTACGAAAGCCCGTTCACTTCCCCCAAAGTAGCAAAGAACTGACTCTTGCATTTTGGGTTATAATTTTTTCTTTCATGTTTCAAATTACATATTTAGAAATATATAAATAATTTTTACCTAACTATTTGCAGAAACCAAAAATGAGTTGAGTGATTCGATAAATTCAAAAGACTTAATACAAACAATTCACTTGGATCTCAATTCAAAAAATTGGATTATGTACTCAATCTAATAACTTCCCAAAGAATAAATCTATATATTTGCTAGAAAATCCGATAAACTTATGTTTTTTTGATTTTTCAAGTCATTCTGAATCGTAATTCATAAACCTTTTGAAAAATATTGTTTTAGATTGTTCTAATTAGATTTTGGTTAAGATTGGAAGGGTAGTTTTTTCGTGAAATTCATGATCTTAACAAACATGCTAACAAATTTAAGACCTACGAAACTTCGTGTAATTTAAAAAAAAATGATTGAAGATTAAAAAAAATATTATTGCAATTTGAAATACTACTTAATTTCATAATATAATCTTGTTAATTCAGTCGATAGGTTTTTGCATATTGTTTTATGATAAAGTACCACATATACCTACTTTATATAAATCTCTGCAGAACTTTAAAATCCAAATTATCATAAAAATAATTTACGTATGTAATTATCATCAATTTATAATCACAAATAAGTGGAATAAATGCATCAAATTCCATCGAGGTAGTATTCAGATTATTGACGACAAAAGTCACTAGAAACTATATAGGTTGCTATAGTTTCAAAACAGGTTTCCAAACAAAAATCATTAAAAGAGTGAATTTAATTTTAAATAGATTTGTTATTGATAATATAGTTTATATGAGATTTCAATGAAAAATCATTAAATACTTTTATATATTCATCTATACACCCCAAAACGTACAACTATATGTGGGATTATGATGAAAACGTATAATTATATATAAGATTTTCAAGAAATTTCAAAATCCATATTTTTAGTGATTTCTATATTAAATGTAAATATTTTTTTATATGCTCTGTATTACTATTAATTTACTTAACGATAAAAAGCAGACTTGATATCATATATACATTTAACTTTCAGAGTAAACCTCTGATTTGATAATGAATCATTCGGTTTTATGAATCAGTGTAACCTACAGAAATTATTTCAACATTAATTTGATAAATTTTCACAGAACCTCGCGAGATAAGTATTATATGTAAATATAAAAAGAACCCGAGGTTTTCTATGTTTCATTGTCAATCTAATAGAATAATTCCTAAAATATTATTAATCAATGCTTAAGTCAATCTAATTTTATTGTCAATCTAATAAAATAATTCCTAAAATATTATTAATCAATGCTTAAGTCAATCTAATTTTATTGTCAATCTAATAAAATAATTCCTAAAATATTATTAATCAATGCTTAAGTTCAGTGCATTAAAATTTAAATCATGACATAAAAATAATATTTATACCAAATATTATATGAATAAATTAATTAATAACAAAAAATTTCTAAAGTTGACTTAATATGTATACTGAACATAATAATGCTTTTTTAAGATGAAAATACTCAGATCGAGTAAAAAGTTTTGATATAAATCTTGAATATTTACGATTAAATTCTGAATAATGTATCATTCAAAGCAAAACCTGTTGTCAGGCAGCAGTGACAATAATACCTAAAAACATTTTTAAAATTTTCTAAATATTTTTCATGCTATTTCCATACAAAGATTTGATTGAATGGTGCACTATCTAAAAGTTAATATTAAGAGCTAAAACTTTTAGAGAATTTTAATTTAATATTAATGATTTTGACAATATTTCTTTTATCCTAATTTCAAATAATTATTATTCCGATACGATGTAATAGTTTACATATATTCCAAATAATTACTCCTATATATACTAATTATATAAATAAAAGTGCACTGCATTATTTTTATACTAATTTTTTTTTACATTTTCTAGCTTTAATTTACAGTAACTTTAGAATTTTATTAAATAAAATTAGTGAAAAAGTTTATAAAATAAGAGTGTAGTGTGTTCTTATTTAGATAATAAATATTTGTTACAGTTATTAATAATTGTTAATGCAAAATTCTACTATTTTTTCACTAATTTTATTCTCTAGCTTTAAGTTACATTAACTTAGAATTTTATGAGATGAAGTTAGTGAAAAAAATAAAATGTTGTATGTTCTTATTTACATATTAAATATTTGTTACAATTATTAATATTTGTTAATGCAAAATTCTACTATGTTTTTCTCTAACTTTATTCTCTAGCTTTAAGTTACAGTAAAAATTTCATTAAATAAAGTCAGTAAAAAACTAAAGTGTTGTGAGTTCTCATTTAGATAATAAATATTTGTCACAATTATTAATATTTGTTAATGCAAAATTCTACTATGTTTTTCTTTAACTTTATTCTCTAGCTTTAAGTTACAGTAACTTAGAATTTTGTGAGATAAAGTTAGTAAAAAAATAAGATGTTGTGTTCTTATTTATATAATAAATATTTGTTACGTATTAATATAATACATATAATTATTGATATCTGTTAATGCAAAATTCTACTAATTTTTATATAAAATTCTAATAATTACAACTTACCAGAAATAAGGAATTAAACAGCGCCAAAAAGTAGTTCACATTTTCCTTCTTGAGTCTCATTTTTAAAATTCTTATACTAACATATCACAAAACTGAACTATTTTAAATCATTTTTTTCAACACCAACACACTATTAGATATAATATATTATCACTTACATTATTGCACTTTTGAGTAACTCTATTTATTATTTAATTTTTTTTTTTTAATTGGCAGTCTAGTCGTTAACATTAATTTTAAAAAATCGATTCGTGGTCTCGAGTCGAGGGTTCGACGAGCACTGAATCAAATACGAGCAAAACATTAGTTTATTTAAAATTCTTAATTACAAAACAGGAAGGAAGGAAACACACGGTACGGCGCAGTGCGGCCAACTATAACTATTACACTGGATACCAACAGTAACGGACTTAGAAATAAAATATACTTGACCCTTAAAAAAAATTAATAAAAAATTGGTTAACTAAGATAAATTTTCCTAATAGAAGTATAAATTGATTTAAATTTACTAAAATATTATTACTTATGGAAACCTGTTTTGAAGCTATAGCAACCTTTATAGTTTCTAGTGACTTTTGTCGTCAATAATCTGAATACTGCCTCGATGGAATTTGATGCATTTATTCCACTTATTTGTGATTTTAAATTGATGATAATTACATACGTATATTACTTTTATGATAATTTGGATTTTAAAGTTCTGCAGAGATTTATATAAAGTAGGCATATGTGGTACTTTATCTTAAAACAATATGCAAAAACCTATCGACTGAATTAACAAGAATATCTTATGAAATTAAGTAGTATTTCAAATTGCAATAATATTTTTTTTTAATCTTCAATCATTTTTTTTAAATTACACGAAGTTTCGTAGGTCTTAAATTTGTTAGCATGTTTGTTAAGGTCATGAATTTCACGAAAAAACTACCCTTCCAATCTTAACCAAAATCTAATTAGAACAATATTTTTCAAAAGGTTTATGAATTACGATTCAGAATGACTTAAAAAGTCAAAAAAACATAAGTTTATCGAATTTTCTAGCAAATACATAGATTTATTCTTTGGGAAGTTATTAGATTGAGTACATAATACAATTTTTTGAATTGAGATCCATGTGAATTGTTTGTATTAAGTCTTTTGAATTTATTGAATCACTCAACTCATTTTTGGTTTCTGCAAATGGTTAGGTAAAAATTATTTATATATTTCTAAATATGTAATTTGAAACATGAAAAAAAATTATAACCCAAAATGCAAGGGGTCATTACTTAAATTTTACTATCATAAAAAAATTATATCAATTTACTCACATAATTTATCCTAAACGAAGTAAAAATTGATTTAATTTTACTAAAATATTACTACTTAAATTAAATTAATTTGAAAAAAAGATATTTATTTGCTCACATAATTTTTTCGAAAAAAGTATAAATTGATTTAATTTTACTAAAATATTACTACATAAATTTAATTTTGTTATTTTGAACTAAAATTATTTTATTCTACTTACTGCAAGCCCGTGGGCTGGAATTTATAGTTGCTACTAATACGTTAAATTTTCCAATCGACTCTGTTTTTAATATTTTACGATTTATAGTTGTTTCTAATATGTTTTCAAATGTAAGAACACTTTGTCCAGAACTACTATTTATCACATAGAGAAAAGACAACTTTTTAGGTTGCCTTCCATAAATCTGTCGTAGTTAGTTCAGTCATATAATCCCAAACGCTTGTAGGATCCTCAAGTTCTATATAAAATATAAAAATAATAAAAATTATATATTGATATTATATAAATATTATATTATATGAATATAAAATATAGAAAGAATGCTCAATGGTGTAACGGTTAAGTTAGTTTCAAACCACTCTAGACAACCTGAAATCGTGCAGTAGCAATCTCCATTCTTCCTTGAAAATATAGATAAAATATATGCTTACAAATAAAAATAGCTAATTTCGGGCACTGTAATCGGGAAATGGTAATGCAAAATCTCTTACATGACTCTTTTCTAAATCTAGTAGAAGCTTAACTCAGCTCACGGCTTGCCCATATAAAAATATATTTTAAATATGTCTTATCGAGACAGCCTAAGTTAATTTAACACGTGCTATAAATTTTTGAAAAAATAAACTCTACAAAAATACACATTCAATAGTAAAACATTTTTACCAGCTTCCACTTTGTTTTAATTGCAATAATTGCTGCAATTTCAGCGTTTCAAACAGCATTATAACTTTAAAAAATATACTATTATTTCAAAAATTTATCCAGCATTTTTGCATTTTAAAGGTGAAACGAAAAAATAATTCTCTCGTAATCTCGTAAAATATACAAATAGTCTGTGTGTAAAATTAGAAAATGAATTTAAAAACAGTCGCCTGTACCACACGCGTGGAATAGGCTGTTTGTAAAACGTTTCAAACTTGAAAACAAAAGTTATTTAACTTTGTAAAGCAAAATTCTTAATTCATCAATTGATATGTATTATAAAATATGAAAACTGTTTTCATAATCTCTCATACCAGGCACCCCTGCCTGACGGAGATATGCAAATAATATATAAATAATATAAACAAAATGATAAAAAAAATTCTTATTCACTTTATCGTATGTTTTCAAATAAATTTTAATATTATGAACTTGTAATATGAGTTGAATATTAACGTGCATAATATGCAAGTGATATTAAAAATATTATTATAAAGTATTTTTAACTTACTGAAGGACAATTTTATTTCTTCGCCAACAAATCCGATTTGCTAACTTTATATTTTCTCGACGTCTCAAGTCATTGCGATTTGCTTGATACCAACATTGCAAAAAACATGTGAGTTTACTGGAAATAATTTGAAAACGTCGATCTCAAAAACTGCTTCAGCTATTATAAAAATTAAAAGTGATTCTTTGAAACTCGATCAGTACTCGCAAGCACTTATAACTAGTGAAGTTAAAATTTTGTCATTGATATAAAATCATATAATTTTCTGTTATAATTTGTACCAATTTATTTAGAGAAACCAAGTATTTACTTGATATTTTTTCAAAAATGTTTTTTCATAATAATGTAAAAATAAATCTATTACCATATATCACCCAAGTTCGTGACTGTAATCGTGTACTATGTGGCTTACTGTTGGGGAGGTCACGTTCGGATGATTCGCAGCAGACAAGGGTCACGCTCCATGAATTACTGACACTAACACCATTGTAAGCTTACCTATCACATTTTTTTAACACAATCGCACTACATCATACACAAATGTATGAAAATTATAACAGTGGTGGAAAAATAAAAAAATAGAGAAAATATTTTATAAAAACACTATGGACAAGACCAAACCATCTTAGAGACACTGATCACATATGTCTATTCTACTGCTCAGTTTTACATTTTGTTAATATAATTCATCGTTTGTCAAAATAAACTAATCAAACAGTTTGACTCTTCAAAATAATATAAAAGACAGTTTAATAGACTATTAGAGACAGTTTAGAGATTTTGTCATTTATATTTTACACATTGATAAAGCGACACCAAAAAAATTTATACAATCCAACTTCGACTTCAGTCTTTCACAATCGTTTTCATATTTGGCTCAACTAAATTGTCTCATTGTCAGCTAAAATTGTATATTGTTAAGTCAGAAGTAATCAATATAAATCATATTGACCTATCTCTATTTGATGTAATTCATCATTAAAATTCCACAAATATTGATCATTTTTTAGTAGATGCAGCCATAGATAAAAAAGATATAAATGATGCCAGGGAGATCTATTTTGACTTGGACACATACTTCCATTTATATTTGTAAGTGAAATCCGATATCACTACTGTTTGATATCAGGTAGTCTGAGTTAGGTATCAAACTTGATATCTTCCGGTTGAAGAATCAAAGCTATTACCTTTATACCAAGGAAGTTCTGTGGAATATATGGTACAAATATTTTCTTCTTTAGTTTGCCTTCACTGCTCTAGAAACGAAAGACTGCGAAAGAGCGTTAATAATTATTGAATTCTAATTTTTGTTATAAAATATCTCAGCGTAATATATTATAACTAATAAATTTAACGAGTTTATTATACGATTGAAATAAAATTTATATCTTGTAAAAGTTGACTTGAAATTTTGAAAAAGTAAAATAATTATTATAATAATATGATAATATTCGTAATTATATTAAGTAGAACTATACCAAAAATTATCAGCATAACATAAATATATGTATATAGATATAGATATATATATATATATATATATATATATATATATATATATATATATATATATATGGGTGTGGGTGTGTGTGAACATGTACAATAAGGAACATCGTTGATATAATTAATTGCAAACATTGAAGAGAGGGTCAGTTTAAATGTCTATTAAAATTGGCGAGAGGTCACACATCCTATGTGTAAGCTAGATAATACATTCTGATACATACCCACAGGTCCAACATTCTGGAAACTTTGTAAAAAATATGATCAATTAAAATAAAAATGTTTTTTTTTACATATTTAAATAAATACGTGTATATAGGCAGGGTGTCCCAGAATTCAACGTCAAGCAACGTTGTCAATCGAGGATTCACTGTAATAGTCCAGTCATTTAAGCTTAAATTAGGTGAAAATCTCGGAATTCGAGATACCCAGCTGAAGGTTTGTAAATACTTGTATATTGACACCCTAAAAGTTGTCTCAAAACCTACATATGGTACGTACACCCTACTAAATGTAGGTTTTGAAACAACTTTTGGGGTGTATTTACCGTATTTATAGATTATTTACAGATTTACACCTGGGTATCTCGAATTCCGAGGTGAACTCACTAGAATGACTGGACTATAACTGCCAAGAGAAAAATCAGAAAAAAATTATTCCCAGTTAGCTAACTAAGATTTAGTCATTTTTTATTTAGTAATTGGCTATGTTTTGGCAGAATATGATTTTTGCAGTATTTGGTCTTAGCAATGAATGTTTCATTTATTTTTATTATAAATAAAAAAAACTGTGTAGAACGAATTAATAGCATTTCAATGTAATTATATAAAAAAAGTTGCTTCGAGATACGAACAATTCGACATGAGCGTACTTTTGGAATGAATTAAGCTCGTAAGGCGGGGTACCACTGTATATATTTTCCATGCGTAACCGAACAGTGCCCACAAAAAGTTAATGTCATCAAATCGGAACCGGAAACTATGCAGTCACAAATTTTAAAACGGATATCGATACACAAAAGAAATGCACACCGTGAAATATTTAAAATGGATACATAATGAATTTATTATATTTGTTTATTTCCATAGAATGTAGAAAGTACCACATGAATGCAACGATTCAGTTTATAGATATTCCCAACTAATATAAAAATTTATTTCTTTTGGTTCATGACAAATAGGAACACAAAAGTAGCCAGATAATAATCAATCATTTATAAATTATTTATATAAACTGGCAATGGAAGGCAAAATATTATTTCAAAAAGTAGGTTTAATGTAGAATTTTACTTCAATCAAAAAATGTTGAATTAAGCGTACACATTAAATAAAATTAATACTGCACCAGTCCATTTGTACAAATAACGATTGTTTCTAGGTGTTAATTTAATATAATTTACTAATAGTGTTATTGGAAGTAGAGTTAATACAATAATAAAAACAAAAATATTTTTTATATATGTATTAACAATATAAATACTGTATAAAAGTAAAAAACATTATCATAAATATATTTTATATATACCAATTAATATATAATTCTTACTTATAATTTATATAATATGTCAATATTTTTTTAAATATGTGTAGGTACTTTTTATATTTACATATTAATAGTTGTAGTAAAAGTGTTATAAAATTTACTCTCTTAAATATTACAAAAACATAAATGATTACATAAACAATTTACTGAAATAATTAGTTTTTTTAATTATTTATATAAATCTTTTTGATAAATAACGTATTGATCCAATTCTGTCATTTTTGTAAGATGGATCTTTTTTAGTTAAATATTTTGTATTTATTAATGAATTTATTAATTTTTAATTTTTTATACTTCATATATTATTTTTATTTCTTAATTCTTGTTTTATTAGGATAAAAATAATTGCACATGTTTATTAATATAGAGCAATATCAAAATTGAATATTGCAATAAGTAAGATCAGGCAAAGATATAACATGGTTATACTCGCAAGAGTCTAAATAAACTAATTACGATAAATATAATTTGCAATTTATATGTATATCTTTAAATAACAGTCTTAAAATAATTATAAATGCAGTTAAAATATGTTTATATATGTATATATATCGTTTTTGCCAATAAGATAATACTTCCAACTATATGCTCAACTCTAACTCATGAACAAAAACGTATTTAAAATATAACATAGATTATGATTAGAAAATCAATACCATTTGACTATACAGCTTAGATATGTATATAAAATAAATTATATATATATATATATATATATATATATATATATATATAGTTATATGGAGTAGTTTTTACTCATATAGACTACATTTAGTTGCAATATTTACTCTTACAAGTTAGTAATATTTGAAAGAAATAGTCGGCCACTGTCGGTCAACTTGATTTGGGTTGTACCTGAATATAACGCTTCCACAAAAACAAATTACTAACGCAAGTAAATTTAAATCGAATTTTGTATAAAAAAAAAAACTGATCACCTAGAATTAATTGAACCATTCTGACCAACCTTGTTGCTTGAGTCCATCTTACCGGCAGTGATACGATGTTGTAGAGTCGTAAGAAGTCCTGATAAGGCGTCGTGATTAGGTAACTTCTTCGCAAACAAAAGTCTCTTAACGGAATCGTCGTAGGTTAACAGCTCTACCATGTTTTGGAGAAGATAACCTTGGCAGTATTGCAAAAGATGTAGGGCATTGTACACCTTAAAGAATCATTAAACACCCAAATATTAGTCATTAGAATTGACGATGAGAAAATTATGTCTTCTGAACAGTAACAAGCCTTACCTTGGAATGTATATACATGGCAACCACATTTTCAGTATCTAATAATGCTGAGCATCTAGCTTCTGTATAACGGAGCAATGGTCCCAATTGGAAAAAACTGGCTGCTGCCATTAGTTCCAGAAGGTCGCGCGGAGCAGTTGCTTGCGTCAGACAAGCTCCTGATCCGGAATAAAGATATTCCATCACCAACTAAAAGATAATAAAATTTTCAAAAACGTACATAAATATTTGGGGTAAAGTTCATAATAAATTTTTCACAATTGTTTCAGCAGTAAGTTATAAACCAAATCAACCAATTCTGAAATTAGAACAATACTGTATTTACTTACTTGAAAAACTCCATATCTTATGTCATTAATTTGTACTGTAGGCGGAGATCCATCACTTGTGCTAATTTTTGAACTAAGCATAGCACGCAAACGTGGGGAAGCAGTTACTAAAACTATTTTGTGTCCATAGAAAATACGTCCTTCAACTCTGTGAAAAAAACAATATGAAAATATAGGATGTAGTATTGGGACTTATAGTACTAATATTAAGGAACTTAAAACTGTTTTTTTTTCAATTATTTGTTGTACTAGAAAATAACTAACAGAGTCCGTAGTAGAACTCAACATTACTTTACTATATTTACATAATAATTATACAGAACTATATTTCTTGAGTAATAATTCGCAAATATGCATAATAATATAGTATGCAAATTTGTTATGCAATTATCCTGAGCATCGATCCATGATGCCCTAATTATTATCTAACAACAATTAAATATAATTCAAGAAATACAAATTTGTTTATTCCTAATATTTAAACATCAATGAAAGTGTCACAAAAAATAATTTTACCTAAATACGACATCGCTAAGTTCAGGATTGTTTACAAACGATGGATCAATTCTAGATGCTGATTTGCTACCCGTATTAGATGGTTCTTCTTCTATAGGAGGTATCGGTGCTTTTCCATATATGGTGCTGAATATATCAGCAAGCAATAGCATAGTACTTTCCTTCTAAAATAATGAGAAGAAAGACAACAAATTGAAAACCCTTTAAACTCTGATATGATTCAAATAATTGAATTGCTATCATATTTCTTACTTTTCCTGCTCTGAATACAGCAAAAAGCAATGGTAGGCAATCTTGCGCCAGTTGTTGCATTTGCTGCTTATCTTCAGGAAGCAGTTGTATGAAATCTCTCAAGAGTTGGGAACAAGCACCTTCAGAGCGCGCCTCGTGTGCTGAAGAAAGCGATAATGTCCAACTGTGCAACGTCCATGGTGCACCAAGAACTCTTAATTCCATTGTTATATCTACAACGATAAAAAAATTTAAACAACTTAATTCAAGGGTAAAGCAAGCCAACTTCAATTGTCGTTTAAAATATCAATATAACATCGAATATTAAATTTGCATGTCAATAAATGTATTTTACCAAGATGATCGTTTTCGGCGCTATGGTACATAGCTTCTTGCAAAGCTCGAAGTCTACGTTTATTTCCACCAGTATCCGTAGGCGAAGCAGACTGTTGCTGCTGCATCTGCTGATGACCTTCAGCTAACATCTCCTGCAAGCTGAGAACTTCTCTACGTGCAGGCGCACCAGGGTGCCGTAATAAACGAAGTAAAGTTGCACGTTTACCGTGACAAGCTGCTACCGAAACGGCACTGTAAAATAGAAAAATAAATTTAAATTTAGTTTGAAACATATTTATGTCTATGTCCAAAAAGCCAAAAGCTAAGATAATTATTTCTTAACCTGTAGCATCCTCTTTGAGCAGAACCAGAATAGCACAATGTGTCAGTAGGCAAGGTCGACAGAAAGCAGTTGGCACCATGTTGAAGTAGCAAAGATACAATATCTATATGACCAGAACCGCAAGCAACCTTGTATCAAAAAATTGCAAATTATTATTACAAAATATAAATATGGTTCTTGGATATGGTAAATGTAATACCTGTAATGGTGTTAGGGCTCCTCTGTCCTCGGTAATTCCTGCGCCGCCCTCTACGCATGCTCCTCTTTCTAACAAAATTACTGCAGAAGAAGTTCTACCAAGACAACAGGCGAACGTAAGAGCAGTCCAATAGCGCGCTACTGGATGAGCACCTGGAAATGAAGGTCCAGGAGCTGGAGTTTCCATATCTATGTCGGCGCCTGCATCTAATAAAACCTAATCGTAGAAAAAAAACAAGAAGGCATTTGAGAATTTTTCTTTTATCATAAAAATAATTCGAATACAATTTTTAGTAATGTTTACTTGTATAGCCTTATCATCTTCTCTGCAAACGGCCAACATCAAGGCTGTCCTGCCTTCATAATCCATTACATTTAAACCCTTAGGTCTTTGCTGGGGTGGCAATAAATTTAAACCCTGGTCAATATGTTCAGATCTGCCTGAGGATAAAAGTTGTATGGCCAGATGGAGGCATGCCCTTCTAGCAGCTTCATTTGATAGATCTGCAGTTGTCGAAGCTGCTTGGATAGGTTCCGGTAAACTAATAATTAAAAATAGTTAATAAGATTATTTTCGAAAATATTAATTAAACTCTTAGAGATTAGTGATAACTCATATCCACATATTCATAAACCATGGAATTTATGTAATGATATAGAATTATGTTAACATATATTTTTTTTTTTTTCATTTTGAATAGTTTTCAACTTCTTACTTCACCCAATATTGTTTACAAACCTTAAAGGTCTTGGAGGACAATCAACCCCAGGCAGCAATAATCGCGCAGCTTGCAGAACATCATCTGCATCTACACTCAAGGCATGCCTGTGCTCAGCATGGGTTCCAGCAACTCGTAACCATTCACCCAAAGGTGGTAAAACAGCATATGCGCGTTCATGGGCTAAATCCTGCTGTATAGAGGGTGGAGCAGGATATTGCTTTTCTTGAATCCTTTCTTGATTTTGTTGTTGCTGTTGCTGTTGTTGTTGAATTGTAGGTAAATTTGTAATTTGAGAAACTGATGAAGAATTCATAACCTGTGCAGCAGCATTTGCATGACAAACACCAGATGACGATCGATCTGAATTGATATTTTTAGAAGGATATTATTTGTTGTTAGGACTTCAAGACTGTATAAATTACTTCTCGCATATCGATTATTTTACCATTAGGATGTTGAGATGACATAATCATTCCTTGAGACACGTCACCAGAAGTTCTATTTTCCAGTTGGGAACATCTCATAAAGTAAAATAAAGCTCTGATAGCGCAAGGTCCTAGTGGTAAGCAACCAGGCCGTTGTGCTCGATTGGCCAGTTGCGTTAATTCTCTTGCCGATCCTACGCAAGTCGTCAATAAACAAGGCTCTGAAGAAGCACCACAAGGTAATGAAAGCGTTCCTGAAATAAATAATATTTTAGATGAGGACTACAAAACGCACAGTCCAGTTATTTTGTATCAATTGATTTTTCAGTAATTTAGAAATACTGACCGTTTGCTATTCTACCCGCATTAAGATGAGCATAAGGTTGCAATAATCCCCAAAGTTCACTCCGACTGGCGACAGCCTGCTCTAAACCTACCGGTGTCAGAGGTGGAGCACCTTGTGGAGGTAAACACAACAATAATGATTCCTCTATAAGGTTTTCTAAGCCAGCACATAAATATACAGCTGCATACCTACAAAAAAATACGATAAATAAATAAATAAAAGAATAAGATGAATTACATATCAATTTTAATATTTTTAACATTATTAGAATATAAAACATGTATAAGTACGTGAATAAATTACACTCACTCATGAACAAAATTTGCAAGCCGAACATCTGTCATCCACCTTTGAAATTTTCCAATGTTAAGCAGTAGACCAGCTCTAGATGACTTGCTTCGACGTGGAGCACCCGCATCACCAGGCGCAGCAAACATTGCGGCAGCTCGTTGGCATGCCTGAATTATAAAAATAAGATTTGTTAAAAGAAAAACAAATTATTCTTAATAATTCCCCTACAATATATTCTCTTTCTTTATTTAATAAAATAAAATACCTTAATACAAGAATCCGCAAGTGAGGGTGTCAAAACAATCCTCATCGCAGCAGCAATTTCGTGCCTAGAACAGAACCCTAAAGCAGCAGCTAAACGTTGAGATTCCCGCGCTATTCGTACCAAAGCGCGTTGAAGCAGCTGTGCTAATCTTGGTACTGCTTCAGGAGCAAGGCGATCACTATGTGGTCTACATCGTCCGTGACGGATCAATCGGCCAATACAACGTGCAGACCATGGAGCTCTATGCAGTTCTACCAGCCTGTGAAAATGGTTAGATAGACGTAAATATATTCATAAAAAAATAGTCTTGAATTTTAAAAATATGACGATTAAATTATTTTCTGTCTCCAGTACAATACTTCAAAATATTTTTAATAATACCTGTTATGAGAATCCACCCAAACAAATTCGTCAGCACCAGTAGCGCTGGTATCCACTGTCTCCAAAGATGAAGAATGTCTAGCGAGTAATCCGCCAGCAGGATTATGCAAAGCTTCGGATGAACTTTCAGACCCCACACTGGTAGCAGAGCTGTAAGCTGAAGGTGGCACTCGTTGTCCATGTTTTAAGTGTTGTAAATTATGTTGTTGTTGTGACTGAAGATGTTGTTGTTGCTGCTGCGATGTGCGAGTTGTAAGTTGCTGCAGGGCTGACTGTATATCCTGGACACGAGACCCACCATGCCAAGGTGGGGCTGCAGTTGGTGGAGCCTATAAATATTTTATAACAACTTAGTTTTTCATAAAAAAAGTAATATTTTGTAATATTTTCAATTATACTTATAAAATTGTAAAAGTGGTTTACAAATATTAAAGTATGTATTATTGAGAAATGTAACCGAATTAAGTTTGCATAGTTTTATCAAAAAGATAATATGGAGAATAATCTTCATATCATAATATCCTATTTACAAATATGCACTCATTTGTAAATATTAATGTATTATCAGTTCAAGTATATTTACTATCGTTTTTAAAGCAGACGCAGTAATAATATTAGGAATACATAAGATATGAGATATTATATATTATGAAACTTCGATGAAACACTTTTTATTAATTTCACAATCATAAACATGAAACAAGAAAATTACTCAGTGGTATCTGCGACTTAATAAAATTTATAATGACTGGTATTGTAACGCCTCATTTCTCTCCAAATAACGAGTGATTTACCTTATTAGGAACTCTATGTCTTGGTCGACCATATTGTCCTCTGCCATTGTTACGTTGGGTGACTCCAGCCGAAAACCTTGAATCTTCTGGCACCGCATTCAGAGATTGTTCTTGCTGGTTATTGAAATCTTGCTCTCCTGATGTGTTGACACCTAAACCTTAATTTTAAAGTGAATAAGAGTAGTTTGAAATATATTAATTATATATACAATTAAAATTATTAATTATTTAGAATAATAATATGTAAACTTGCCAGAATGCGGAGATGATGAACTAGCTCTTCCTGTCGTGTCCGACATAGAAGCATGTCCAGAAGAACGATTTTCATCCGACGATGATGGATAATCTCTGGCACGCTTAAATTGTACATTTTGTCAGTAAAAAGTTTTATCGCTTCAAAAAATATTAGGTATCTACCTGCTGAACATCATTATTATGAGAATTCGGTCTTTCTAAAGATTCTGCAAAAGCTGGCTGCGACCTAACCGGTCCACTGTGTGCTGCCAATCTCACTGGACCTAAAACTGCACGTTGACATGATGATAAAGCTCGTCCTGGACCTACAATCGAGCAAATATTTATAATACTTTACAAAATCAGATGACATAAAAGAGTAAATTTTTTATAATGTAAAAAATAATTATCGATATAATGGTTCATCACAAATCTCCTACACCTATATTCCTCTACCTGACATCAATAAAATAATTTACTATACTAGTATAGGTACTACATTAGTCATAAGAAATTCATATCATTCTGTACGTAAAACTTGAACCGTAAACATAGAGCAAATAAATACTATTAATAGCTGAAACTACACAATTACTTATTTTAAAGGTCTGATATAGCCACTTTAATAATAAATTATATCTAGCCCTTCGAGGTAATAGACTGTTGGTGTGTAGTTAAATTACTTGACTTTTTTAATAAACATTGTGCAGGACGTCTACTATGGTATTGGATATAAAAAATGCACTCATCAAATAGGATAAACTCCATCGATTCTTAAGTGTATATACATGATATAATTTCAAAACTAATATTTTACCGGAATCTCTTTCTGGTATCATAACATCGTTACCGCGTGTTGGAGTTACAGGTACAGCTGATGAAGGTGATCGTTCCTGAGGAGCTTGCGGAACTTCTGCTACTTCCTTCAATATAAAAACTTAGTAATAAACTTTAATTTCAATTTTTTTTAAATTTCTCTATATTGTTTAAAACTACCTTAACAATTTTGCAAGCAGGACCACTTGTAGCTGGCATATACACACGTCCTGATTGTGTTGGACTCTCATGATGTGAAGAGTTATTGACTAAGGTTGGGGTTGTAGAATATGTAAGTTCTGATCGGGAAGGTCTGGAAGAATATATTTGATTTAAATATCGACTTAAAATTGCCATAAACATAAAAAATCATAAATGAATACGAGTTAAAACTTATTTCTAATAATATAGGGTAATTAAGTACAAATCAAAACCATGAGCAGAATATTAATGATTATAAATATTGGCACAAATATCTATATTTAGTATATATGTCTTAGGGGCCGTTCAAGTATTACGTAAGCACTATAGGGGGGCGAGGCGTGATTGGTTTGCTTATTTTGGGTGACATTTTGATGACAGCTTTGCTTACTTTTGCTGACAAGGGAAGATGGGGGGTGTAAATAATTGTAATAAATCTGCTTACATAATACTTGAAACCTTAGAACTTTCTTGACAGGCTACTGTTGCTACTGATATCAAAATTAAAAATGCTAATAATATAGAGTAACTTATAGAATATCAGTATCTGCAATACTAAATATTTATATGCCAGATTAGACTATGCATTTCAGACCACAACTACATACAATTGCCAAACGTACAAAATTCATTATATACATTCTAGTACATAAACTTTTAATTATTACTCAGTATCTGTTATAATGAAGACCAGCGTTTTACCTAGCTCTCCATTCCTGGACAAAACTCCAATCCGAATAATAATCCAATCGCTCATACTCATAATCATCACCATAAGCATCACCTCGCTCATTTTCAGCCTCGCAAGAACCTCTCTCAATATCCGCCACTAAACGGGAAGCACATTCATAATTATCTTCAAAATTAACATCTATTACACCATCATCGACTTCTTGGTAAATATGATCAACCGCTAATAAGTTATTTCTTTCTTTCCGTTTCAAATACAACATGGCGGTTTCCTCTAACAAGCGGCGCGCATGCGCTTCCGTTTCCGATGTCAATTCATCATTAGAGTTCGAGATTTCTCCGCTCTCTATGGCGGTGTCACTACTGCTGCCACAGTGCTTGCGGGCTGGTTTTGGTGGTATCTTTGGTTTTGGGCAACGTATTTGGTCTAGGTTTGTGCAGGATGTTTCAGTTATTTTGGCAGTGGTATCGCCGAAATAGATTACCACTTTATGACGTTGGTCGTTGGCTTTGAGAACTTGATTCTCCATTATAATTGATTGATGTTTTATAGAGAAAATTCACATGTTTTTACTTGAAAATAAATTTAAGTAGGTACTAATTTAAAACAAATCTTAATGCAGTATAATAATAATGAAATAAATCTAAAGATAGAAGGTTTTGTTAGAATTGTTTATGAAACTCATTGATTATGTTTGGTTATCAATTTTTTCATTAATTATTAATAAACTTTTAAATAAAATCATAGAACCTTATACGAAAGTAATAATATTAAATATATAGCATAGCATGTTAATTAGTTAACAATAGTATTCGTTTATAAGAAAAATACTGTCCACTGATAAAAAAGGATAAATCGCAAAAACGGCCATTATCTCAATTTTAATTATTTCTGCACTCCATAGGAGCGCCACTAGATAAGATTTATATAAAAATATATTATATAGAAACATATACCTAATGATTAAATTAAATGAGAACAAAATATACTCGTATTTAATATATTTTTAAATAAATCACGAATGTGTTTTTACAATAATTTGTAGTAGAAAAAATTAAATGTTTAAAGTACGTCTATTATAGTAAAAAAATCGGTTCTTTAAAAAGAGCGATGGATTTGAGCACAGATGACAATCTGTTAAGTGCGAAAAACACTATTTATATCTTGGTTTAATTCTGGGTGAGTTTTATATAAATATATAATATAGAAAAGATTAATTAGAACAAATGAAATGAGAAAAATATACACGTAATAAATATATTTTCAACTGAATCACAAATATGTTTTCACAAAAATATATAGTAAACAAAATTTAAACCTTTAAAGTACGTGTATATAGTAAAAGAATCATATCTTTGAAAAGGATTTGAGCACAGATGACCCTCTGTTGATTGCGAAAAACACTAAAACAAAGGGTAAAACACATTTGTTCAGTGTTCAGCCACCATCGAACATTAGAGTTTTATAAAACTGTTGAATTTCAACCTTATTATATTCATTTATATTTAATTCTTTTATGTTTATAAAAATTGATGACTTTTTAAACTATGAATTTAATTATACTATTTACATTAAAATTTTGATTTCTGAATGAACATTTTTTCCTCACTGTTTTTGAAAATATTCATAATTGATTATGAAGAAATTTTTCATATATTTTTTTTATTATTTTTATTTTTTTATTTTTAAGATATTTAAAAGATATTGTATCTATTTGGGATATTTAGTATAATTTCATCAAAACAATATTTTTTCCAAAAAAATCTCATAATCCGTTATTGAAATTTCAAATCAAATTCGATTTTGCATACACTTTATATCACAAGTAATCTTTTAGTATCCTGCGCGACCGGAATAATAATTTAATAAATTTATATTCATTAAATCAATTTGTCTTGTTTTTTGTTTATTTTAAAGTCGACGATGTTGCAAGGTCGGAACCTAACGGTACACTGGCGTTTTTCATGAGTTGATCGTATCGGGTACCCTCCGAGCAACAATATTACAATAATGAAATTGAAACTGCGAAAATTAAAAAGCGCTCATTGTTGTCTTCGCCGTATTGTGCGAAAGGGAAAATTTACAAGAACGCGTGTGAATTTTTATATATTATCATATATAAATATATACATTTATGGGACCATAATATTGTGGGCTTATAGATGGAGAGTCTGTAGACTTCTTCCAAAATATTTAGCCATTCCAAACTTTTTTCTCGAGCGCTATATTTATTTGAATTCAATAACAAACTGCTGGTATATGACATCGCTGGCCAATTGCTGGATCTTCCCGTACCAATAATTGAAATTTAAAAAAAGAATTTTTTTTTTTTTTTTGAAAATTTTGAAAAAACAAGATTTTTGAGTATTTTGAAATCATTGAAAAAATCTGACTTTTTTCGAAGCACTCATGCTGCGTGGCTGTTTTAGTGAAGAAATATCGAATCGCATAAGGTACGGAACCCATATAAATGTAAACAAAATTTATAACTAATAATTATAATTTGATGTGCATATATCTAATGATCAATTTTGGCAGCCAAATGGTGTTTTTTTGCATTTTTATTGATTTTCCAAACCGATAGACCTGCTTTCCCAAAAAATTTAACAGTTGTTCGTCTTGTCAATACAAGTGAAATGTTTTTGAATTATTAAAATCGGACGATTCGTTCTCTTAAAAACTGAATTACCGTTTTTGTTTTTTTCCCCGTATCTTCGGAACGGCTAGATCTGCCTTCGCCAAAAACTAATCAGCTCGTCTCCTTATCAATATGAATTGAACGTTTTTCGAATTATTCAAATCGGTTGATCGGTGTTCTTGAACTCGTCCACGGAAATTTTTATCCGCACACTCACACACACACATACATTCATTTTTTCTAAGGTATGCCAAAATGTTCAAAAACCTTTGAAACGTAAAGATATATAAACATTTTCATTTTCGATTTTTTGCGATTACTATAACTTGCCCTACGGGAAATTAAAAAAATCGACTTTAAAGCTTATTTAATAGATTAACGCAGAAAATTGAGAATTATAAAAAATAATATTAGTTTTTTAAAATCCAATTATTTTTGTCATTATTAATAAAACATTTTTGTCATAATTAAAAAGTTTCAAATATTTTCCAGGAGTATGAAATTCCGACAGTAAAACTTTTTATAAATATCATATTTTAACTATAAATAACATATAAAAAACCGTACAGTTAATTATTAATCATAATATCATTTTTTTTAAATCTTTAATAATTTTTATGTTAAGTATAACAGATATAACTAATTAATTTTACAAGATAAAAAATATTATGATTATCAAAATATTCAATGTTTAACAAAAAGATTGAGATAATATCAACAATTATTAGCATTAAAGACTTACATGATTAAATGATTATATAATCATCATTTGATAAATATTCATTATATTCGAATAGAGAAAACCAAATTGAATCAGATTTTCAGAATTGAAATTTTAGGATAAAATCTGTTTACTACTTGTGTTGAAACGTGAAGGGATAATGAGAAATAATTATTTCTAAGGTAAGTTTTAAATATAATTTTTAATATTTTATTAAGTATGTTTATATACATTGGCATAAAACATTCACCAACCAGCTTTCTATAAATAAAGAACATTAAAAACTCATTGAATGAGAGTATTTCGGTAAAGCTTTCGGTAACTAGTGAAATTTTCTACCGATTATGATACTATCACAAAAATTACAAATAAGCATGAGAATTTGGTGATTTTATCCATTGTTAAAAGTTCATGTACAGTTTTTGTTATATTAAAATATTTTGAACGTTCATGAACTTGATATTTATGATTCTTTTATTCAAATTTAATTATGTGAATAAGTAGAAGTAATGGACAGAGATATAGATAAAGTTTTGCGTTGAATGAAATAAATTTAGAAAATTGTAATATATTAGTATGTAATTACTAATCAGCAATAATAATAAGAAAATCTACTTAAGAGGCGTCCATTAATCACGTGATCGATTGTTTTAAAGATTTTTGGATCCAAAATTACTCCCCCTCCCCCGGCAAACATCACGTTTCAGTTGCAATTTTTTTGGTATTTTTTTATGTTTGGATTTTTTTAAAAAAAATCAGGTAAAAAATAAATACACGTGATATCCCACTATACCCCCTCCCTCATCCACGTAATATTTTGTGTTTTTTTGTCACACCCCCCTCTCCCTCTAAAAACCCCACGAAATTTATGGACACCCTCTTATGTTTTGAAATTTCTAATTTTCATAAATTTTGTAATATCGATAATATTTTTCTAGATAGTCTGAAATGTAAAAAAAAACCCTTGAAATTTTTATAAAAATGTTATTTTAAGAATAAATTTAATTTTAATATAAAAAATATTTTTACATTCCGCCGAATGATACAATGGTCTTAAATGAT